TATATATATATATATATATATTGCCATGTTTGCCACTTTGTCACTTTTAAAGTTAGCAAACTGAATTGAGAGTATCTTTTAACCATTTCACAGGTAGTCCAAGTCCATATCAGTCATTTATGACAAGCCAGAAATACAAAATGTGGTAAATAGTGAAAGAAGCCCATGTTGGATTAGGCAAAATGGTCTCTCAATTAATCCATGAGTTCTTGTAAGCCTGTGTTCGGTAATTACAGTTTATTGAGGATAATAGTGCACAGGGGTCTTTACTGAGTACTTTTCTCAGTATGGACCAAGAGGTGACCACAGGCTTGTAAGCAAACACTTGCCACATAATCCTCCTCATGGGCTGAGCTGGGGCAAAATCACAAGTGATTTACTTAGATCTCATCCAGTAAAAGCCAGCCATAATCTGGTTTTAGTTGCTAAACTGTGTGCTCTGTAAGTGTTTTGTAATTTTAAATGATTAGTGAGGCTTGCTAATGCAATACTTTGAGGTTTGTTCAAATCCCTAAGCACAATGGTACTTTGATATATTCCATTGTAATTTTAGATTAGCATTCATGTTCCATGAATGAAAATAAGATTCAAAAGTTTTTTTTTTCTTTTTTTAATTAATGAAATGAATCAAAACATAATGGTAAAGTTATTACAAATGCTGTTCATTTGAACTTTCTATTCATCCAAAAATCCTGGGAAAAAATGTATCAAGGTTTCTACAATAATCTTAAACGGCACAACTGTTTTTAACATTGGTAGTAATAAGAAATGTTTCTTGAGCACCAAATCAGTATATTTTCAATGATTTCTGAGGGATCATGTGACACTGAAAATTGGAGTAACAGCTAATCAAAGTCCAGCTTTGCCATCAGAGGAATAAATGGCTTTTTAAATATATAAAATAGAAAACAGTTACTGTAGATGGTAATATTTCACAGTATTGATTTTATTGTAATTTGATCAAAAAAATGCTGCATTGGTTATTATAAGAGACTTTTTTATTATAAGAAATTTGTTTTAAATCTTGAATAGTAGGTCTAAAAGTATACCATGGGAGAACCATGTTACAGTGTCCAGGAAGCTTTATAAAGAATATGGTACTTTGTTAGTGTACTGTAATTCTTTCTCTTAAGTACACATGGATTCTGAAGGAATCTTTTCCCTACGGGTTTCGACCACAGCGCATCTCTAGTTGTCAGACATTGCTAGGGGCCTAGACTTCACCAGTGGACTCACACTGAAGTCTGTGTGAGAGTCTGCCAATATTTACAGTTCCGTTTCTATGGGAATTGACGGTGTAAAGAAACAGCAATGCGATACCTTTAAAGCTCAAAGATGTGAGAGAATCTGATTTAATCCACACACAGAGTCTGATAGTGCTTCCTGCTCATTTGATAAAAACTGCAGGTTCTGCAGCATTAAGATAATGACTGTGGAATGTCGACCACCGCTGTGCGTTTGATGTATCAGGATGGATCTAAAAATGAACTTCAAAGAGTCAGTATATTTGCAACACATTTCCGTTTACCTCCGTGACACTATGCTCCACATCACCAAACCTCTTTTTCTAAAAAATTAGGTCAATTTTCCAAAGTGGGTCTGTAATACCTGGAGAAAGCTATCCACTGGCAGCTGCTTGGCTGATGCATGCAGCCCTGGAAGTGTGGCCTGTTTGCTGCCACCTTTACTTACTGAACAAAAACCACAGAAAAATGAAAAATACAACTCTTCAAATAAACTGGCCAATGGCTACCAAATGTATTATAATATAATGAAATAGAAAAAGGAGCTAACTGCATATGCCAACCAACCAGTGACCGCTCGAATTTCCTAGTGTTTAATTAGGAATATGTCCAATGTTTTTTTCTCGATTAACCCAGGCCATCTGTATTTGCTGACATATAGCTCATGTGTTTCACACTAACCTTTACATTTGGATTTTGTCATTCCAGCTCCTGGGAATGGCCTTTTCCATGACACTGTTCCATCAGATTCACAGAAGCGGGAAGAAGTATGATGCTTAACAAGGCCGTTTCTCAAGGGAGGAGCAGTGGTGTATTATGGGACAGACTCTGGAGGACAGCTCCTCCTCTTGTATCTAACTTTCACCACTGGCCAATCCCTCTTCCCATTAATTCCCCAGCTTATACCTTACCATCCTGTATAGACTTCAGCCATGGTCTGTCTCTTTTCCACTCTTTCTCCCCCATCTGCTCATCTGCCAAAGAGACCCGGGGACAGAGAGGAACGAGAGGAACGACTCTTGGCCAGAATCCTTCCCATGAGGCCTCTGACTTTCTTCATCTCCTCTAGAACCTTTATTTTACGCTTGAACTAACTAACGGTTGCAGGAAGGAGAATAATGACAAAAAACTGTGTGGCTTTACTAATACGTAAATCCTTCCACCCAACATATAGATGAGGCGAGAAGACATCAGACTGGAAACCTTCAGGGTGGATGAATTTGAAAAGCATCGCTCATCATCACCTCCATCTACAGTGTAAATGACAAACAGCTCCATTTTAGCAAGATGCGGTTTTGTACGAGACAGAAAACTTGTCATTTCGGCTCAAGACTTTTTTTTGTTTGTTTTTATAAGTGACTTTGCCCCAACCCCATAATTGTCATTTTTGTGCACCTAAGGATTGGAAGAAACCGGTACAAAGAGATTAGCGAGGCATGACCAGGAATTTGAGTTTGTCTGTGTTTAAAGGTTTGTGATTTGAGGACGCATCGAAACGTGTCGAAAGTTTCACTCTGATGAGAACCATCACAATCTAATGTCAGTATAATACATCAAACAGGGACTGTCTGATTAGCCAGCCATCCACGTTCATGCAAAAACATCCTCTTTGTTAACCACTAAAAGGTCATTTTAACCAAACTTCTACTGAAACTGTATGGCATAGACAATGAAGCAAAGTTTTTATAGAAGAAAAAGTGTAAGGTTACAAAAGTTGGTAAACTAGACATGTATAAAAGGCAGAGCTTTGTGAGTTTGACCATTTCCCCATGTTTTGCTCATTGAATCCAAGTCTGTACCCCCCCCAAAAAAAGTGGAGAAAGAGCCTAAAGATGCAGATTCCACCTAGTTCATGTTTGCACATTTCTTCTGGGATAGTAAAGTTTATGTTTTCGGAAGACTTAAAGAGTAAAATTAATTTACTCACCTTCATGTCGAATCTGTAGGACTTTCTTCCATGGACACAAAAGGAAATCGTTTGAAGAATGTGGCTCTATGCTATACAACAAAAGCAGACTTGATGCTTACAAACTCGAAAAAGGAAGGGGAAAATACTGCAATAATATGGCATATAACTTAGTTACAGTTTTTCAAGTTTTCTTCACTTCAAAACATACTTGCTGAGGAAATGACTCTCATTTGTGCATATGCATTGTCTTACTTTTAATATGTAAATGTGCTGAGCTGCAAGACGGTATAAACGTGGTAATTTGATAGAACTTTATGACTCCTGGGAATGGCCTTTTCCATGACACTGTTCCATCAGATTCACAGAAGCGGGAAGAAGTATGATGCTTAACAAGGCCGTTTCTCAAGGGAGGAGCAGTGGTGTATTATGGGACAGACTCTGGAGGACAGCTCCTCCTCTTGTATCTAACTTTCACCACTGGCCAATCCCTCTTCCCATTAATTCCCCAGCTTATACCTTACCATCCTGTATAGACTTCAGCCATCGTCTGTCTCTTTTCCTCTCTTTCTCCCCCATCTGCTCATCTGCCAAAGAGACCCGGGGACAGAGAGGAACGAGAGGAACGACTCTTGGCCAGAATCCTTCCCATGAGGCCTCTGACTTTCTTCATCTCCTCTAGAACCTTTATTTTACGCTTGAACTAACTAACGGTTGCAGGAAGGAGAATAATGACAAAAAACTGTGTGGCTTTACTAATACGTAAATCCTTCCACCCAACATATAGATGAGGCGAGAAGACATCAGACTGGAAACCTTCAGGGTGGATGAATTTGAAAAGCATCGCTCATCATCACCTCCATCTACAGTGTAAATGACAAACAGCTCCATTTTAGCAAGATGCGGTTTTGTACGAGACAGAAAACTTGTCATTTCGGCTCAAGACTTTTTTTTGTTTGTTTTTATAAGTGACTTTGCCCCAACCCCATAATTGTCATTTTTGTGCACCTAAGGATTGGAAGAAACCGGTACAAAGAGATTAGCGAGGCATGACCAGGAATTTGAGTTTGTCTGTGTTTAAAGGTTTGTGATTTGAGGACGCATCGAAACGTGTCGAAAGTTTCACTCTGATGAGAACCATCACAATCTAATGTCAGTATAATACATCAAACAGGGACTGTCTGATTAGCCAGCCATCCACGTTCATGCAAAAACATCCTCTTTGTTAACCACTAAAAGGTCATTTTAACCAAACTTCTACTGAAACTGTATGGCATAGACAATGAAGCAAAGTTTTTATAGAAGAAAAAGTGTAAGGTTACAAAAGTTGGTAAACTAGACATGTATAAAAGGCAGAGCTTTGTGAGTTTGACCATTTCCCCATGTTTTGCTCATTGAATCCAAGTCTGTACCCCCCCCAAAAAAAGTGGAGAAAGAGCCTAAAGATGCAGATTCCACCTAGTTCATGTTTGCACATTTCTTCTGGGATAGTAAAGTTTATGTTTTCGGAAGACTTAAAGAGTAAAATTAATTTACTCACCTTCATGTCGAATCTGTAGGACTTTCTTCCATGGACACAAAAGGAAATCGTTTGAAGAATGTGGCTCTATGCTATACAACAAAAGCAGACTTGATGCTTACAAACTCGAAAAAGGAAGGGGAAAATACTGCAATAATATGGCATATAACTTAGTTAGTTACAGTTTTTCAAGTTTTCTTCACTTCAAAACATACTTGATGAGGAAATGACTCTCATTTGTGCATATGCATTGTCTTACTTTTAATATGTAAATGTGCTGAGCTGCAAGACGGTATAAACGTGGTAATTTGATAGAACTTTATGATTGATGGGCGTTCTAATTCTGCACAAATGTTCTGACCTTTCTGACAAGTTCTGTGGGCACATATTACATGTGGGCCAGATAATGACTTAAATTGGCGGTCTGCTGTCCTTTTGTGTCCTTCGGAAGAAAATCACAGGGAACAGAGTGACATGAGGGGACAGAAATTTCCTTCAACTATTTCTTTAAAGTATCCCTAGCAGGAAATCTAGCACTAATACCAACCCAACAGAACTGTGAAAATTGTCAATAATACTTGACTTATATCTTGCAATGAAGCGGTAAAGTAAAACCGCATACAGTACAGAAGAGCAGAACCAAATACAAGCACAGTCATGGTGTTAGTTATAATAGTAGACTGTAATCCACCAGCCATAATTCATCAAGAGAAAGAGTGTCTGCAATGTTTGTTTCCGCACACCTCAGCTTTATAGCCTGTGCTGTTTTTCTGTCTCTCTCGGCTCTTTTCTGTCTCCATCTGTCTTTTAGTTTCAAGCATCAGGCTGGAACGGTTACATTCCTGCTGTATGGGGTGATAACGCTTCTCTATCACACCCTAAAGGGACTTGCTTCAAAGCAAATGTATCTTGACGAGGAAGTTTTGAAGTGAGAGTGTGTTCACCAGCAGACAGTTTTTAGGGGTTTAAAATCGCTGAGCAATAGATGGGGCATGATGATGGCTGAGAGACGACCAGAGTGGGGTCATCTGATGGTCTCCTATCCAGACTGTCACGAATCTCAGTGCTTGATACTCCAACACAAGTGTTGTAATGTCATTTTTTTGTTATTTTTTTTTGTACAATGTTCATTGTTGTATGTTGTCATTTGTTTTGTATCATATATTTTGTCACATATTGATTTTAAGGGTGTGCTAAGCATAGATAAGATTTTGCATTAAACATTTTTTTTTTCTTTCATTTCCTAATCTCAGATTATGATTAATTTGTTGGATTTTCATCTGTGGATACTATCATGAAGCACATGCAAATTGATAATCACATTATAGTTTGTAGCAATTGTAAAGTAAAAGTTCATTATTAATTGGCCAAATACTAATGAATTTTTCAGAAAGGTAAGGTCCCTATATTTCTATCATATTGAAGATGGCCCAGAAACATTAGCTCCAGAACATATAAAAGCTTGCACACCCATGCCATCTGATTGTAAATTTTGGAAAAAAAATTCAACAGTCATTGAAACAAATTTTGTACCCATTTATTGTGTTTGGTTTCATTTTTTTGTTTTTGTACCTATTAATTCAATAATTAAGTTGTAGATCTGAATGAAATGTTGACATTTGTTGGTACTGAATTCTGATATTTTGGACAGCATTGCAGGGATGAGAAAGTTTTCTTATTGGTGATCTAAATGACCACAGCACAACTTCACAAATTATTGAATTTGTTCTCCCATTATCAGACACTGCCATAAAATGATCTATTCATTTGGTATGCTTGGGGTAAAAAAGGGATCTAAAAAGTAATTGAGTTCTATAATCGCTGTCATATCTGTATTTTTGTACTGCCATCCTAACCACCACCAGTAAGCTGCATAGACAAGCTGTAGAAACATATGCTCTCGAGTGGCGTGTTTAATGTAGTGTCCCGGTGAGTGGCAGTTATCAGATATCTTGTGAACCCAGATTTGTCCTGTGGAGTATTTTGCTACATGTAAAGCACTATAAATATATTAGGTGGTGCACTAAATTGCATTCTTTAAATCCTACTATTTTTTAAATAAAGGAAAGTGTGTTGCCAAACCCCCATGAGAATGTTATTTATTGCTTTTTTCATTTTTATACAGCCTTTATATGTGACCCTGGAGCACAAAACCAGTCTTAAGTCGCTGGGGTATATTTGTAGCAGTAGCCAAAAATACATTGTATGGGTCAAAATTATCGATTTTTCTTTTATGCCAAAACTCATAAGGATATTAAGTAAAGATCATGTTCCATGAAGATATTTTGTAAATTTCCTACTGTAAATATATTAAAACTTAATTTTTGATTAGTAATATGCATTGCTAAGAAGTTCATTTAGACAACTTTAAAGGCGATTTTCTCAATAGTTAGATTTTTTTTTTTTGCACCCTCAGATTACAGATTTTCAAATAGTTGTATCTCGGCCAAATATTGTCCTATCCTAACAAATTATACATCAATGGAAAGCTTATTAAGCTTTCAGACAATGTATAAATCTCAATTTCGAAAAATTGACCCTTATGGCGACTTATGGTTCACATATGTACTCTTTTAGAGGATTACAATCTTATCAGAATATGGGCCATTTTACAATGGAGACTGCATTTCCATTTCATCTTATTTAAATTAAGCTCACACTACATGATTATATTTACGTTCGAATTCTGGGTTCGATTTTTATGTTACAAATGAAACAAAAATATTTATTTTTTTGCATTATTGGAATGGGATGATACTTGGTGACTCACACACACACACACACACACACAAATCATGGACATGATTTTGATATGTTAAAGAGCCAAAAAAAAATAAAAACTGTGAAAAAAAATAGCTAGTAAATATTACATAGTAAAAAATCCCCTCAAAATTCTAAATAATCAAAAATATGATTGAACAAAAATGGAATTACATTGATTTTCCAGGGGAGAAAATGCATTTCAATGCTTCAGTCACTTTTGTACAGCTGCTGTTGACCCGTGGAAGTGTGGGCCATTTCAAATTGACTTGCAACATAATACAGGAACCAGTAAACATTGACAAATTTCAGTTTCATGTTGTCAAGATGGTATAAGACTGATCACAAATATATCATAAATAGCAACAACAACAAAAGTCATCATATATACTGTTATTAGTCATAATACAAATAATTAGCTTTCACTGAAAATCAAAATATGTACTTTTCTAAAACCAACTATGCAAAGCACTGCTTTAATATAGAAAGCTTTGTATATCAGTCCCATTAAGTGAAGTCATTAGACATTGCAGAGCAATACTGTTCTTGGTCAGATCAATACTCTTACAGCTACAGTATATTTTGAAAGCTACTGAGTAGCATCTGAATGTGGTAATATGAGTATTATGATAGACTATACCGGATCCATATCGCATAGAGTGGATACACCCAGTGTATTTGTGGATGAGGCGGAAACAAACAAATCAATGTCTTGGATCTCATGAAATACACTGGTCTGTCTCCAAACTTTCAAAGAAAATCCTTTCAGGGCCTGTAGCAATAAACCTGTGAGAAAGATTCTCAACAACCCGATTGATTGTTCTTCGGCTCTCGTGATTAAAGGATTCAATGAGCTTTACAGATGCAGTCCAAATAAAACAGCAGAGCTCCCAGTGGGAAAAGCCAGTCAGACAACCAGCAGAGCCCAAACCACTCCTGAAACTGTAGTTTCACGATGGGCCATTTATATTTAGAATGGCTTTCCAGCAGTAGAGGAGTAGTCTCGCGTCGTGACGTCTGAGGCTGAGACTAGT